AAGGATGGTAATACCAGGACCTATAGTTTGAACAAAAGTGCTTTGAGATGTAATCATGAAAGCGCTGCACAGATTGGAGGCAGGATTGCTGTTAATGCTGTAGGGACTATAGCCAAAAGTGATGTAGGCGAAGCTGCCAAAAGTGGGAGTGGAGATGCCAGTGGCATCGGTAGTGGAAATACAACAAAGGTAAACAAACTTGCACATCGAGAAACTGCCGTGACCAAGTTTCGTCTGAAGAGGAAGGGAAGATCTCTCAAGAAAAAGGTAGATAATTCATATCCTATGGGTCACTATTTCCGTTGTACCAGCATTGTTCTTGTATGGGGCTCATTCATTTTCTCATCATTTGATTTCGGTTTTATTTGGTTTGTTGAAAAAAAAGGTTCTTCTACTCATTATGATTCAAGAAATGAAAGAGTATTTGCTTAAGAGAACAAAATATTCTGCACAAGTTAATTAGGTATCTATGTTTCTCATATGGCTTGGTCCATGAGAATAAATTTTAAAGACGAGTGATAGTCTATCTTACGTTTATTACATTCCAGTATAAGTAACAACGATCCTCTCTTAGTTCATTTCTGAAAAATCTGCAAATGTAAGTGCATAAAATTGTTGTCAAAGCCAAAAATTGTTGGCTCCTGCAAATATCTGAAGATTTAGTTCTACTGAGTTCTGTCGTGATTGAGTGGCTTAGCATTTAATGCCCTTCTTCCTGTTGAAGTTCATAACTGATTCTCCTCTGTAGTTAGCCTACATTGTAATTCGGAGGCCATAACCCAGGTAGCCATGCCATGTTGTGGAACTTCATATAATTTGGTTTCTGTCTATGATAATGTACCTAGATATGATGCAAATCTTTAAAATACCACCGTTTGATCTTGAGAATGTGTGTCCCATTTGTTTTAGGTGCCTGTTGTATTGCAAATCCCTGCCATCATACATCAACGGTTGATGATTTTAGTTTCTTTGTGGTTTAAATGTAGGGGCCCCTTATAATTAAGTTTGGTCCAATATCCGGTCCTACAATTTTGACCTTTAGGAATGCAAAAGTTTACTATTTTTAGGTCAAGGGTAATAAAGTTGTGGCTCTCACCCCCAGTTTATTTTTGAAGTAGGGATAGGCTTGCTATCTGTTTAGTATTGCGTATAAATCAACTGGTCATTGGTGCCGTCATAGGAATTTATCTGTTGGTAACACACTTGGTTATCAAATCCTGAAAAGCACGTCACAAATCTGATAAAATCCCTTAGTGATTTAGCAAGTGTTCTGCAGAGGAAGGAAACCAGGCCTAGAGTTCCATACTAGCCTTGAAAGTTTTAATGCCGATACCTTGAAGAGCCCTTTGCTCAAGCTTCTATTGCACCTTTAGAAAGCAAAACAGTATTTTAATATGACTAGATGTTTCTTAGAGTATCTACAATCTGTTTTATCTATCATTACTTTAATATCCAATAAGCTACGCTGTAGAATACGAATTAATTTCATGAAATAAGTTCTGCAAGTTCAACAATATCACTGCTTCAAGTCTAAACCTGAAAGCAATTCTCGGAGCGCTGATCTATGAGGCTTTTACATGTCATCTTGACATGATTTCTTAAATTTATCATCTTTTATTAAATGAAATCTCACTATCCAATTAGATTAAAAGGGTGAATACATGATAGCTAGATTCGGACTTCGAAACTTTGTTATCTAATGCTTTTATTTGCACATATTTCTATAGAAGATTACTCATTTTCATACGTTCCTTTTAGATATTGTTATTTTTTTATCCGTTCCTGAAAGTATGGAGTTTTAAGTGAGACGGGCTTGAAACCGGGGAGAGGAGTAGAATGTAGAGACCACAATAAAGAGAAGTAAACAGCCTCCATATGCTCCTTAAATAGAGCATGCATGAATTGGCTCATAACGCTAACTACAAAAGCAATGTAAGGCCTAGTGTGTGATAGGTAAATGAGCTTTCTTACAAGGCGCTGATATCTTCCTTTATCAACCGGTGTGCTTCCTAAACAATCCCCTAGTTTATGATTGGGATTTAGAGAAACATTTGCTGGCTTACTTCCCAACATACCCGTTTCTTTTAAGAGATCCAAGACATATTTTCTCTGTGTAATGGAAATTCCACTCCTATTTCTCGCAAACTCTAGGCCAAGAAAGTACCGTAAAGGGCCTAAGTCTTTTATTTCGAACTCAGCAGATAGAGTTTTCTTCAACCATTCCATTTCTTCATGGTTATTACATGTCAAGACTATATAATCCACATAGACAATTAGAATGGTAATTTTTCCACTTGAGTTCTTGTAGAACATAGTATGATCAGATTGGACTTGCTTATATCCGTGTTGACATACAGCCTTCATGAACCTCTCAAACCAAGCTCGTGGGGATTGCTTTAACCCATATAAGGATTTGTTCAGTTTACAGACCTTTCACTGGATCTTAGCTTCATTGAACCTAGGAAGGAGTTCCATATATACTTCTTCCAGTTCACCATTCAGGAAAGCATTTTTTACATCTAATTGTTGAAGTTTCTAATCTAGATTCGCTACTAGTGTCAGAAGGACTTTCACTGTGTTTAATTTTAAAACTAGAGCAAATGTTTACTAGTAGTCAACTCCATACATTTGAGAACGTCCTCTTACCACTAACTTGACTTTATAGCACTCTACTTAGTCGTTTGACTTGTACTTAACAGAAAACACCCGTTTGCACCCAACAGTTGACTTATCCTTAGGTTTCTCCACAATCTGCCATGTTCTATTCTTATTCAAGGCTTCTATCTCTTCCTCATCTACATTTATCCATTCTGGAATCGACAAGGCTTCACGGATAGATTTTGGTATCTCAATTAGTGATAGGTTTGTAGCCAGAGCCTGAATTGAATTAGATAGATGACTGTACCTTATGAAGTTGGAGATGGGATGCTGTGAACAAGATCTAACTCCCTTTCTGAGTGCATTAGGGACATCCAAATCATTAGTAGTCATTTTGTGGGGTAGAGAAATTACCTTAATTCGGATCAGATTCATGGTTTTGCAGTTGGTTCGTGAGATGTTCCACATTTTTAGGATTTCTCCTCCTAGAATAAACACGTAGCTCAAGTGTGATTGCAAGTTACTTGTCTCTCCCTGTCGTTAAACTTGGCTGTACAAAAGAATCAACACTTTGTGAATCATCAGGAAGGGGGGAAAGATTAGTGAATGAAGTTTCGTTTGATATGGGAGAATCTGATTCTTTGATGGGTGATATAGGCATGTTGGATTTTATGCGCAATATTAAAGAGATGAAAACGATAATCAACACAAGAATTTTACGTGGTTCGGTGGTGTGCCTATGTCCACAAGAGCGAAGCGGAGATTTCTTTATTCAGTTGTGAAAAATAGGGTTACAACATATTATTTATACTAACCCTAGCATGGGCCCATATAAAACTTTAAGGCCCGTATAGAAAATACCCCTGTACCGTACCGTGGGGGCGTTGCCCCAGCACCCCCAACCCATTCAGCGTCCCTAACAACCAAACAGTGAATTAAACCCGCGCCGTCGCTCCGCATCGGCATCGGCCCATTTGATCCAGGCTTGTGTTCCACTCTATATGAGTCACATGTACAACAATCTCCACCTTGGCGAATATTCACCCCTTAGGAGAAAAAACATAACCTGGAAAAAACCACACCATCTAGGACCAATGGGTTGGGACACATCCTCTCTAACAGTTAGAGATGTTAATCAAGTTCAAGCAATGCTTGAACCTATCCATTGTGATCGGCTTTGTCATCATGTCTGCTGCGTTCTCTGAGGTATGCACCTTCTCGTACAACAACTCTCCTGAAGTAACCAACTCTCTTATCTTATGAAATCTCACATCAATGTGCTTGGTTCTTGCAGGATAAATCTGATTCTTAGCTAGGAAGATGGCGCTCTGACTATCATAGTACAGCTTCATTCCATCTTGCTTGATCCCAAGTTCCCTGACAAGCTCTTTCAACCACAATAATTCCTTGGCTGCCTCAGTTGCCGCCATGTACTCTGCTTCAGTTGTAGATAATGTCACAAGCGATTGCACCATTGACCTCCAACATATGGGCCCACCTGCGAGTGTGAAAACATAACCTGTATGGGACCTTCTGTCATCCAGGTCCCCTGCATAATCTGCATCTACATATCCTTGAACTGAAATATCACCATGTTGCATCTCAAACATGATCCCGCACTCCATTGTACCTTTCAAGTACTTAAAAATCCACTTTGCAGCTCTCCAATGCTCTATCAGGATTAGCCATATACTTACTAACCATACTGACTGCATGTGCTAAATCTGGTCAGGTACACACCATTGCATACATCAAACATCCAACTGCGCTGGCATAAGGTACCTTTGACATCTTTGCATCATCTTTTTCACTCTTTGGGTACTGATTATTAGACAATTTGAAGTGATTTGCAAGTGGTGTGGCAACTGATTTTGCATCTGACATGCTAAACCTCTCTAACACTTTCTTCAAATAGTTTTTCTGAGACACCCATAATTTTCTGGCTTTCCTATCTCTGTTGATCTCCATACCAAGAATTTTCTTAGCCGGTCCCAAGTCTTTCATATCAAACTTACTGCTCAACAAAGATTTTAATTTGTCTACCTCATCCATGTTCTTGGCAGCAATTAACATGTCGTCCACATATAACATCAAGAAAATATATGAGTTATCCTCAAGAACTCTGTAGTATACGCAACAATCATACTCACAACGACTGTAGTCAATCTGAATCATATGAGAGTCGAACTTCTTGTACCCGTGGAGACTGCTTAAGCCCGTATAAAGACTTATTCAATTTACACATAAGATTCTATGTTCCTGGTTCCAAAAACCCTTCTGGCTGCTCCATGAAAATCTGTTCCTCCAAATCACCATGAAGGAAAGCAGTCTTCACATCTAGCTGCTCTAACTCCAAATCAAAATTAGCCACCATTGCCAAAACAATCCTGATGGAAGTGTGTCTGACGACTGGAGAGAAAATTTCATCATAATCTACTCCCTTCCTCTGTGAGTATCCCTTTGCTACTAATCGAGCCTTGTATCTTTCTCCTTCCTTTTCTGACATTGTTTCTTTCTTTCTATACACCCATTTACACCCTATCTGTTTCTTTCCCTCTGGAAGCTCCACCAAATCCCAAGTACCATTTTTATGCAGTGACTCAATTTCCTCCGTCATAGCCTCTATCCATTTACCTTTTTCCTGACTACCAATGGCATCCTGAAAAGTT